CCCTGGAATGGCAAATCATTACATATTTACATATTTACATACGTGCATACAAACATACACATAAGGTGCTATTGATTAACGATTTACCTACATATATAGTTACATATACATAGTATGTTTTGAGATATGTAGTATGTTTGTGCGCTTCATTTTAAATGGAGAGCTTCCCGATGATGAGCTATGGACAAAAAAAAGCAAAGTGAATACTCGGCGAATTGCTACTTGCTTTTCGACCATGAAACAGAGTAAGTACAGTGCAACGAACAGACGGAAAATGGTGAGTTGGTAAAACGCTACACCACAGCGACCGCAATTTATTATAAATTATGTGGTATTTTAAAAAGTTAAGACCTCGTTAAATGCTTCAAATTATATCATATTTCAGGTAGCGAATTGTACAAAAAAAAATTAACAAATAAATTTCGAAAAATAATGAAATTCAATTTCATTACAATGAAATGTGACTTAAATGCTCCATTTTATAAGGGCTGTTTTTGATAATTATTATATAAACTATTAAAGTTATTTCATTTGAAAATAATTGATTTTTATATATCATACAATTAAAGTCCTTAAAAATAAAAATCTGGCAACACTGGGTCTCATGTCGAAGAAGCCTGAAAATACACTAAATATTGGTGTAGGAACTCTTGAAACCGGACTAAAGTCGTCCGTCCACATCATCTATTACATATGTAGGTTTTTCGTCTACGTCAAAAAAATGGACTTGGTACTTTTTTGATATTCGATAATATTGTAATAAAATAGGGATTCCAAAATTATTCAACCCGAAATATGTATTAAGTTAGTTTGTTATATTTTTCAAGGAAACAATTAATGTAAAAAATAAATATATAAATTATACAAAAGAATTCCAGACTCTTCCTAAATGTATGGCCATTTTTAGTAATTTAATATTTTTCTGATTTTTTTATATTAGATATGATATCTTTGCCAGTTTCTGTTTTCATGTAATTATACAAATCTGCACAAGTTAAATTGAAGTCTTTTTTACAATAAGTTCACTCTCCACATTTTCTAAGGACAGCCAGACTGAAATATATATATATTTTTTAAATGACCTTGCAAAAATAATATAGACCCAGGTGACTACTATTTTTTACTCTGGCATGGTCTACCTACTAACCTGACAACACAGAAAACCTTTTTATTATAACTTTCACACATATTTCATGTATTAAACGCTGTAGTCCACTTTGTCGTGTTAAATATTTAAATAAAAGTGAAATAAGCAGGAAAACCCATATTGTACTGCAAAAAAAAAATCCGCATGTGAGTTCGAGGCGAACGAGAGGGAAAATTACAAGCAATGCATAAAAAAGTAAAAAAATTAAATAAGAACATTGCGAGCAGCAGATAGAAATATAATAATAAAGCAACAAATAATAAACACACATTAGTACAAATGTATACACATATCAATGTTCACACTATTTTTAACTGACTTCAAAAAAAAGGAGGAGGTTATCAATTCGTGGGAATATTTTTTGATGTATGTTAACGCATAACTTTGGGCCACGTCAACCGATAATAATCGATAATTATTTTTGCATCGGAAAGGTAGTGTCTCAGAGGTGGTTCCATACCAATCTGGTTTAGATCCGATCATCGGTTCATGACAAAATTAACGGTACTCCTAAATTTTTATATGAGAATTGAAATCGGTTTTGTTTTTTGCTTAAAAATTACTTGTTATACACTAACTATGAATACCTATGTTCATGCACATGTTCAAATATATATGTACCTATATATATGTGCATACTAGGTATGTACATATGTACACTAGGTTAGTACAAAAAAAATTTAAAATCTTAGGACCCGCAGAGATTTTTATACCCGAGCGCACTTATGCACAAGGGTATATGTATTAACTTTGTTCACATAACGGTTGTTTGAAACAGCCAAAACGAAACGAGATAGATATAGACAAATGCATACATAAATGCTCAGAATGAACAGAGAAGTCGATTAAGCTATGTCTGTCCATTCGTCCGTGCACACGAATACTCAAGTAAAAATATTTCAACGAAATTCGGTATGTAGGTTTCCCTTTATCCGAGGTAGATTGGTATTGAAAATAAGCGAAATCGGACCGTAACCACGCCCACTTGCCATGTAACGGTATTTTCGAAAAAAATGCAAAAATTACGACATTTCAGTAAAGATTGGATCCAAATTGTTGAAAATTATTATGAGAAGATGAATTTTGGTAAAAAATGGTATTGTCATGAAATTTCTGGAAAATGGGCGTGACCCCGCCCACTTAACTTGAAATGCTGTATCTCAATAGCCGCTTCACCTATCCGTGCCAAAGTCGGTACGAGCCTTGCCTAAGGCCTAGCTAAGACATCTGTTGAAAATCTTTGAAATTGGGCAATAACCACGCCCACCTTCCATATAACGGTAATTTACAGTAACACGAAAACTGCGATAAATCAGTAACTACTGAAGCTAATTGACCCAAAATTGATAATTGCAATAAAAACTTAGCAGGAAATTAAATTATTTGAATTTTTGGATAATGGGCATGGCGCTGCACCCTTATGGTCACAAATATAAATCTCGGTAACCGATTCGTCAATTTCTTCCAGACACGGTTGGAAATTATTCAAATCGGACTAAAATTACGCCCACTTCCCGTATAACGGTAAATTTCAGACATCCGAAAACTCCGATATTTCTATAACTGAGGACGCTAATTTACTCCAAGTCAATAGTTACAACAACCACTAAACAATAAATAAGACTACTATAGACTTTTAGAAATTTTGCGTGGAGCCACCCACTTTATGACTACGAGGTATATCTCGGTAACCACTTTAAAGATTTCTACCAAAGTTGGTTCAATTATTTCATTAAGCCTATTTCAGCATAGATATTATCAAAAATGTAGTTTAGAAAAAGTCAACAATATTTGATACCTCCGCGGGGTATATAAAGTTCGGTTTCGCCCGAACCTATACTTCTTTATATGTTTCAAGTGGAAAAGGGGGATGTCTACCCGTGTGTTTTGAAAAAAAGAATATTTGGAACTGCCTCAAATCCCAGGAAGTCTTCTTCTCTTCAGGATACTTCCAATAAAAATACCCAATTGTTTATTTTACTATTTTTTAATACTAACGGCTTTTTATTGGTTTCCCCATTGATTTTTTTTTGTGTTTTTGAGGGACCTGTAAAATAAGGTAATATTTAAAAATCTGTTAAATAAACAATGGGATATGGTTATTGGAAGTGCCCTAAGGATAAATAGAGTTTTCGATTGAAAAATATTGATTTTCCAAAATTCTATACCATTTCAACGAAAAAGTGTTTTCCACATATAAAATATGTACATGGACAACTTCATGGGCCTTGAGGTAGTTCTAAATATCATTTATTAATAAAAAAACGGATATTCTTTTTTCAGTTTAGAAAAATCATGGGGGATGAAGCTTAATATTTTAATTTATTTCCCCACTGTTTTTTTTTTTACTACCCTAATGTACACATCTCCATATATACGTGCAGAAAAAATTATATGAAGCGCTATTATAAGTACAGCCATGGTATGATACGGAGGGCGGCGAGAGGCGACACAGGAACCTAGCAGCAGCACACCATCAATAAAAACCAGCAATAACAGAATAATAAACAAGCACTCGCGAACGATGTACATGAATTAGTATTAGTGAATACACATATGTACATACATAAATATATATATTATATTCGAGCGGGGTTTCACTGGGTTATGAGCAGGCGGGGGGAAGCGGGGCGGCGATATTATTCCCAGTTTTGCCCGAATTGGTGGTCAGGAAGAGTTGCAGCGGAGAAGAGATGGAAAACTACGATTCAGCGAACGAGAAAACCAGTCAAACTCACACGAATAACAATAGTAACAGCAACAAGGGCACCAGCAAAAATTAACACAAACAGGAACAACAGGCGTGCGAAATAGCAACAACTAACACAAGCTGATGATACATAGTACGTATGTACATTAGAGTGGTTCTTGCATCCATATATATTTTCTTTGTATTGTTTTTTGAGCAGCTACCCCCTAAAATAGTTACATAACAGTTGAGAAAGTATTTCTCATTAAATATTGTTTCAATTGATCCAGATTGAGCCGTGCATGTAAAAAGTACTAAATATGTATACATATTATGTATGTATATTTAGGGCCGTTTTCTCAAGTAACCTGTAAGTTTAAAGCTCACTTTATATATAAAGGTTGCATTAAAATTTATGATTGTGTCCGAAGTAAAGCATTTCGACTTGTTTGTGGCACGGGTTAGACCTGATTTATTGGGCCAAATATTTCAGGGAATTACTTTTTCAATAAAGGTAACCATTACAAGGGGTACCACCCGCAATTTTTTCGATTTTTAAAAATAAGGGCCACACTAATGTACATGCATACATACATATGTAGAGTACTTAGGGGCAGCGGCGGCATTGTTAACAGCGCCGCCAACAGCGACGTTGACCGCGCGCAACGTCGACGCTATCAAAACGAACGATGATGGCCACGAAGGCAATGAAAGCGACTACGACGCCACGACGATGATGAAGGTAGAAAATAGAACTTTCCATACGGTCTGCTAGCGACGACAGCGGCATTGAGAATTGAAACTTTTGTGTGATCGTACCGCATCGCGGCAGCGACGACGACACGGAGTGCTGAAAATTTTATTTAGTTAAAAATGTTGGGGGAAAAAAATTCAATAAAAATATAGGCAACAACAAAATTGCATTGTGGAAAATCTTCAAACAATTTAGGCAAATTAATTTACAAATTTAAAAAAAAATTGGAAAATTTAAAACGCCTTGCAGTTAGTGTAAACAAGTTAATAAAATAAAACTTTGAAAAAATATCCACGTTTCGAACGGCGAGTACACACATGTAGGAGGTAGCTGCACCCAGCGAGAGCACAAAATACATAAAAAATATACTTATATTTAAATGTACGTACACATATAAATTAGTAATACGCAAAAAGGGAGGAAAAAAAATTTTAAATAATGGTGAAACCAACCTAAAAAACCATAAGGCAAACAAATTAAAAGCTGAATTAATATATTTTGTGAAAGAAAAAGACGTTACTAACAAAAACACAAACATAGGTTCCTACAATTAAAAACAATTTCAATTTGGAGAATGCGCTCAAGTGTACACTCAGCAAAATTGCGTGACAAAAAATTAATACGCAAGCAAATAAGTGAAGCAAAATCCATACATAGTACCTATTTACACATGTACATATGCACCTAAATACATACCTGCGTGTGTATGTATTTCTACTGAAATCTGTGGAAATCCATCCAACGCATTTATCGCATAACCAGCAACCCTTGGCAGCAAGCAGCAGCCCCAAAATTTTGTGGCAACGAGCAGCAACAGCAACAGCAACAGCGGTGGCAGTAGAAAATTTTCAAGCAGCGTGAGTAGCTTTTATTGCGTCGCAGCAAATATTTAGAAAGATATTGATACATACATTCATATGTACATACATACATATGTACATATGTATGTAGTATTGTTGTTGGTGGTGAAACTCGCTGAAAAAGCGAAAAACAAAAAAGAATTGCAATTCGAAAAAATTCGCAAAGTTAAAACGTTTTTTTTTAATATGTAATTTGCATTATTTACTTTATAAAAATGATTTAAAGCCCCACACACAACTTTAAAGTTAAAAGTAAAAAGTACCGCATTTGGTGAGGCTAGGTTTGTTTAGGCAATATTGAACTCTCTTCTTATAAACTTTTGGAGTGTGTGTGTGTGTGTGTTTTTTTTTGACAAATAGGTTGTTTTAAGTTGAAAAAAAATTTTTTTTCACATTGCGATTTCATAGTACTTCTACGAAAACAGCATCACTCCAACGCCTTCTTCTTGACCTGGAGGCTGTGTCGCAGCCACAGCCACTAAACTTAAACGTAGAATACGTGATATTGAGATCGCATTTAAGTTTCGGTCGTATTGAATTAAATTTAATAAATCAATATGAATTGCAAAATATTAATAATTAGAAATATAGAGAAGCAGAACCACTAAAGCTTCAATCATATGTACCATCAGCTTATAAGTAGACATACCCAGTGGGAAAATGTCATGTATAGTAATCGAAAAATGATCAGTAAAACAACCCTTTTAACATTCGAAAATGCATTTTTTTCCCCAGGACGTTGTCCTAAGAAAAGTGGGGCATTCAATTTTGCATTACCTAGTATCGAGGAATGAATGTGTTTTAATATGAAATTTTTGGAACTTTAGAATGCTGATTACATATGTAGTTATCAGTAATGTAATCGAAAACTCATAAAAAATACATTATACTATTCATCACGCATGTAATGCATTACTACTTTTCCGACTGGGTGCATATGACATGACGTGTATCATTACCTCGATTCATTTTTATTTCCTTTCATACTGCAGAAATTTGTAGTGCTTTTTATATGTATAAGCCTGGGTCCCCGTACTAGTATTTTTCTTCGTGTTCGTGCTAGTCTTCACATTATCTTCTTCTTCGGATTTGTGCATAAGTTAGCTGAGACTTCTGAAACAGCGGGAAATCCTCTCAGATATACATACATAGTTAAGAAATAAACAAATCTCTTGCGTTTGATATTGTAGCTCTAATCCAGTACTCCATGAACCTACAGGTTTTTACACGAGCTTGCAGGAAGTTACAGGAAAAATTATCCCGTACTCCATATTCCTCCAAAATCCTGTAAATGAGAGCGATTTTTGGAGAGAGAATGATGTTGCAAGATTTCACCCGAACTTTTTCATTTGATAAAATCAAGAAAAGCCTCAAGCAATCACTGGTTGACGTTTTTACAGGAAAAATGCTTTTTTTGTTCGCGTACTTTTTGTTGTTACTCACTTTTTACTCTCACTTCAGAGAGTAATTTTGCTGTTTGACATTTTTACAGGATTTTACATGAAAAGTATTGGATCAGAGCTTGTGATACCTATGTAAGTATTTCATGTGCCTGAGGAATTAAATTAAATTTGATTTTTGAAATAAGCGACAACCCTCATAAATACAGTTCAGAAATTAAGCCTTTTTAAACCATTTCATTTGGTACCCATACTTTTGATGAATGCTTTAATTTATTTATTACCTTTCCAACAAATGGCAACCCTGTTTAATTTTCTACATACTCAAATTAAGCATATCTTACCACCTTCATTTTACGTCATATTTAAATATTTAATTTAACTTATTCATACTTTAATTAAATTCTATTTTAAAACCAAGACGTTGTTTAACCTTTTTCGACTGGCACACATATTGCCATACATGTTCCAAAAATTTTTATTTATTTATTCAAGTTGAAGTTACTGTCTAAAACATATGGCAACTCTTTTAAATAAAGTTCGGAAAATAACATTTTTAACCCAAGTCAATTTATACCCATACTTTAATAATTCATTCAACTTATCAAGTAATTTGAGTTTAAAGACAGAAGTCCTCTTTAATGTTATAAATGCTTAAACTAAATGTTTCTTAATACTCCTTTGTTTGACGCCAATATTTCAATATTTCATATAATTTAATCTAATTCGACTTCTCAAAGAGATGGCAATCCTATTCAAATAATTTTTAAACCAAAACCTCGTTAAAGCCTTTTCGTCTGCTTATATATTGCTTATATTGAATCTAAATTTATAACAAGATGGCAACCCCCTCAAAATATTCAAAATATTTTCAAGCCACAACCTCTTACGTCTGACATCCATATCTGGATATACATTTCAGCTTTTTTCCTATATTTAAGTCGTATTGATTTTTGAAACAGGTGGCAACGCTACTACATATAATTAAGAAATAAAGCGTTTTCAAACGATACTCATGGTGTAATAATTTATTTAACTTAAAACCAATTTGAATTAAATTTTTTATGAGGTCGCAACTCTTTTTGAAAAAATAAGAAATTATCAGCACATCCGCAAGCCAAGCCCTTTAATTTGATACCTAGTTTTGTAAAATCGAAAGGAAACGGTACAGATTTGATATGACGAAGAAGTTTTCGCGTATTACTCATTCAGATGTACATACATACGTACATATATATGTAGATTACTAAAAGAAAAACGGATCCACATTAACTGCAATCAACCTATATATATACGTTCGTATGAAAGAGAAAATTTTGTAGCATTAAAAATATGTACATATATGTATCTGTTAAAATTTTTAGTTCCCAACAAGGAATAGGTATTGGAAATAGGGCTGTGCGATTAATTGATTACTCAAAATTTTAATTAATCATAAAGTAAGTAACTCAATTATTCGATTAATTGGAAATTATGATTACTCAAAAGTTCAGTTACTCGAGTAATCAAGATTTTTGATTAACCAAAAACAAAAATATTTGAGTAATTTGCTTTATGATTAATCAACATTTCGAGTAAAATGAGTAACCAACATTTCAACTCTTTACATATGTATAAAGTGGTTAATTTTCCTTGATACTTTGAAAACAACGTTTCTGTTTTCAAAAATTAAAACGAAAAATTTTTTCATATACAGAATGTAAAAAAGAAAGTAAGCATTTTCCAAAGTGGACTCTTTTAACGAGCAAAATTATTTTTTTGAGTAATCATATTTCAAGTAACTCGATTAATCATCGTTTTGAGTAATCAAAATCTTGATTACTCGAGTAATTGATTAACCGAATAATTGATTAACCAACTTGCTCGAGTAATCGAATAATCGCACAGTCCTAATTGGAAATTACCTTTCAATTAATTTTATCTTTTTTAAACTAATAATGACTGACGAAATTCGAGAATCTGGTCGAGTGTTTACTATTGTATACTAGTTTTTGAAATATATTTTCTTTTTTTTTGCGAAAAAGAAGTATGCCAAATTTCAAGGTTATTCAAGGAAAAAAATTTAAAAGGACATTTTCAATACCGACTCATCCTTATGCACCAAAAAATTTAATCTGCTTTTATTCTACAGAATTTTCTCATATTAAGTAGATAATTCTTTAAGGTTCTTCCTCTTCTTTTGTGTCAAACTCGTATCTACAAATTCATGATGTCGCTGCATTCATATCGTTATTGACAAAGCGTTTAGAGAATGGAGCTAAAAAAAAATTGAAAACTGTGGCCTATGGCTCTTTTAAATCGGTACTTGGAGCTCTGAATTGCAGCTATTTAAATTCTTATAAATATTTATACTTACTACGTACATACATACATATGTATGTACAAATAAAACTGCAAATAAACATGTGAAAAAAAAAATTGATTTCATCTTTCAAGTGCGCGTTGCTAACCAACAAACAACGCATTCTATTTATCCATTAAAATTCGCAAAGCCAAGCAAATTAAACAAAATTTTAAAAAGCATACATGCATAAGTCAACAAAAATCAAGATGCAAAAATATTCCATAGAAACGCGTCGACATTTGCATGAATGAAATTTTTTCATTCCCCAACCGGCACCGCACCGCACCGCACCGCATCCGCCTCTTGAATGCGCTTTCATAATATTCATGAGCACGGATGTTTGTATTCGCTTTTATTTATTTCATACGGATTTTGCCACAATAAAGTATATTTTAACATAAAATTCGCAAGCAAAATTAAGCTAAAAAGAAAACCAAAACAAAAATATGCCGAGCTGAAAGAATATAGCAAAGCATCAGCAATGACGAACTGCCTGGTATTGGTGGGCAGAAGTATGAATTTACGAAAAAATATAAACAAAAATGCAACAAAATAGCATTGTTATGAATCTTGCGGAAATTGTTGCGAAAAAGGGAAAGAAGTAAATAAATATGTATGTTTTTTTTTTGTTTAAACAAACGAGAATTCGCATTGGGACTAATGGTAAATAATCAATTCAGAAAAAAAAAAAATATTTGCAAAAAAATTTTACTTGGTCTCATGTTAAAAAAAAACCGCAATAAATATACTGATACACGCATATATAATCTAGATGTTATGTGGAAAGCTTTAGATACCTATTGTCAATATTGTGGGATTAGCTCCCTGGATTTATTTGGCTCAGCTAACTATTTTAGCGGACATGCGGCAATAATCGTTTCAACACCGTTACTTTTAAGCTTTTTATAGACGAAATCGCATAAGCTGCCCATTTGGAAAACTGTATTTCTTATGAAATATATATATGAATATTTGAAATTCTTCGAATTCACTGTTGTGTGCTATTTTTACTCAATAAATATGCAAATGGCGATAATTTGAAAATCAATTTATTTCATAAACAAACATGTGTTAAGCTTTTCAAACAACAATAATAATAAAAACACGAACAAAGACGACGCCAATTACAAAAACAACTACGTAAACATTCATAAGATTAAGTAATTAACAAAAATATGAAGAAACTGTAAAGCTTTTGTTTGCTTAAACGCTTCCTTCCGACGATTTTCGTTGAAATCACAAATACACAGTAA